CCCTTCCCCATCCCCACTGATCGCAAATGCGAAGCTTCTTGGAAAATGTGACCTGCAACATACCAGAAATTTTCTTAAATTTAAAAACACTCCGTAGCCTATACAAAATTCACCCGAGCCCTCGGGGCTCCAAACCAAACATGCACACATGTCTTAAAACATCATACGGACTTGCTCTTGCGATCAAATTGCCAAAATAATACCTAGAACTATGAATTCAATGCCAAAACCCATGAAATTTTCAAGATAGTTTCAAACTACCTATTTTCTCAACCAAAGGTCTGAATCACGTTAAATCACTCCGTTTTTCACCAATTTTTGTAGATAAGGTTTAAATATTATAACGGACTTGTACCGGGCTCCGGAACCAAAATACGGGCTCGGTACCAACAAGATCAAATCATTTAAATTATTGCATTTTCAGTCTTACTAATTTTCTTCAAAAATTCATTTCTCGGGTTAGGGACCTCGGAATTCGATTCCATGCATACGCTCAGGTCCTATATTTTACTACGGACCCTCCGGGACCGTCAGAACACGGGCCCGGATCCGTTTACCCAAAATATTGTCCAAAGTCAACTAAAATCTTCTTTTTAAGCCAAAAATCATCTTTTCTTAAGTTTTTCACATAAGAGTTTTCTGAATACGTGTCCGAACTGCGCAACAAATCGAAGAGAGATAAAACAAGGTTTTCAAGGCCTTGGAACACAGAATCGGATTCTAAAACAAAAGATGACCATTTGGGTCATTAAATATGTACTCATATAGGACTTTAGCAAAACTCTCTAAACATTTTTACTATTTTAAAAGTGATGATCAAAGGAATATGAAAGATGTCCAGAATAGAGATTTATCCCACAATTCTATGGTAGCGTAGAATAAATAAACAAAAATAAGGGAAATATAAATCATACGAGTGGAAAGATACTAATCGAGTTGGGACTCAAAATAGAGCTTATTAAAAGATTAGTATCCAACAAGAGAAATCCAAATTAGAGAGGAAAGATACCTAATAACTTGACGTGGCTTGCTACTGAAGATTGTTGGAATACCTAATGGCTTGCTGCTCAAGATGTTAGAACTAATTTTGTTTTGATATGAGTAGTAGAATAGGTTTGGAAGGTGGGACTTTGGATATTAATTATTTGGTCACTTGTAGCCATTTCATAAATTCAGAACCCAAGAAAAAAACCTTAATGAATAAAAATTATATTTTCATATATAAATTTTTTCGGTACGGTTCGATATTTTTTCAATTTATTTTTATAAAATTATAAACCTACCCTATTATTCGGTACGGTAAGTTTATATAAAAATCTACAGTTTTATTAAAATAAACCTAATAATCGATTATGTACAGTTTGGTTTGGTTGATTTAGCCGGTTTTAAAGATCCATTCAACACCCCTAGTGTTCTCCTTTCCCTTTTTCTTTTTACTCTAATGATTTGTACTATGTGCTTCATTTTGTTTCATTGGTAATTAACAACGTTGAGGTTCAAACAAAATTCTATTACTGCATGTATTTTAATTTATTTGTTTTGCGTCATCAATAATTTAAGCAAGTTCAGTTGCACTTTAAAATTTAAATTGTTAGTTGGTTACGTGACTTAGTGTCTTAATTGCAAACACACTAATGATTGGGTCGAGAATGAGGTAAAGTCACTCCATCGGTTCATCCATAAAGCGAGTACTTTTTCAAAGATTTATATTTGGGGCGTTTGCATCTATACCCGCTTTTTGTATCACGTTTTAATTTATGTCCGCTTTGCAAAAAGAATTGCAAGCGTACTTGCTTTTTCGCATAACTTCAGCATACGGGGGGCTGAAGTAGCAAAGACAATCACGCAAAACTTCAGCATTCTAGTAGTCGGGCCTGAAATTCAGCTCTAAAGCTGAAGTTTTTGTTTTGTAACTATCGAACTTCAACTCTAAAGCTGAAGTTTTTGTTTTGCAACTGCCGAACTTCAGCTCTAGAGCTGAAGTTTTTGTTTGTAACTAGTGAACTTCAACTCTAGCACAGAAGTTTTTATTTGTAAGCTTCAGCTCTAGAGCTGAAGTTTTTGTTTTGTAACTGTCGAACTTCAGTTCTAGAGCTGAAGTTTTTGTTTGTAAGCTTCAGCTCTAGAGCTGAAGTTTTTGTTTTGTAACTGTCGAACTTCAGTTCTAGAGCTGAAGTTTTTGTTTGTAAGCTTCAGCTCTAGAGCTGAAGTTTTTGTTTTGTAACTGTCGAACTTCAGTTCTAGAGCTGAAGTTTTTGTTTGTAAGCTTCAGCTCTAGAGCTGAAGTTTTTGTTTTATAACTGTCGAACTTCAGCTCTAGAGTTGAAGTTTTTGTTTGTAACTAGCGAACTTCAGCTCTATAGCTGAAGTTTTTGTTTTGTAACTGTCGAACTTCAGCTCTAGAGCAGAAGTTTTTGTTTGTAACTGGCGAACTTCAGCTCTTTGTAACTGGCGAACTTCAACTATATAGCTGAAGTTTTTAAAACCCTTGAATATGTATTGTTGAAGTTTCTATTTTTGGGGAGGAACTCATACCTTCTGCAGGGATATATATACATGACCAGTACTGCAGAAAAATCATTGATTAACTAACTTTCATCCACATAATCTTTCTGCATGCGAGAGTTTGAAATCTGATGACTTCAAATAGTATTAAGTAGTAATATTTTAGCTGTTGGGGATATTATAGCTCCATAAATGTCAAGAAAACTAGATTCTTTTGAGCTGCAACACTTTAAATTGGGATTCGGGTAATACAATTGACTTTTCTTTTGACAAGCATTGAAGAAGCAGATTGAAAATAAAGATTTTAATTATTTTAATTATGTATAGTAAGATGGCTTCTGAGGAATTGAGTGAAGCCACAAAAGGAGAGATATTGTTACATCAATGTTAAGTTCCAGAGAGCTATGGAGATCACTGGTAGGAGGAGGAGGAGAAAGGGGTCTGAAGTTTTTTAACAAGTGGATACAAGTTAAAAAAAATTTAAAAAACTAGATATAGGTTAAATGGGGGCAACCAAATAGGACGCCCCGTGCAATTTTTACTCTATATTTAAGTCGGTTAATGACTTTTAAAGCCCGGTTACCAATAATTAAGCAACAAGAATTTCCCTAAAAAAATTGTGATGTGATATTTCAACATAATCTTGGACCCAAATACATCATCATTGTTTCTTCATTTTTTTCTTTTGGGTACAAAAACAATATCATTTCTGCAAATACACATGTATGTTCTTCTGTGAATAACAAAATTTGTACTCGGGATATGTGGGAGATAGTGTGCACATGACAAATTATCCAAGATTTTTGTTGTGCTTTTCGTACAACTTTTGGTCAAAGGCGGAGTAATGATTTAAAGTTTTTGAGTTCGAAATTATAGTTCGCTTAAATATTAGTAAGTTTTAAATTAATAATTTTAATTATATTCAGTAAACTTTTTAAGATAAATATAAAATTTGGACTAAAGTTAATGAGTCAGGATTAACTCTCCCCTTGACGAATGACGATGGCCATTGCAAATGATCGGAGAATGTAGGAAACACTTGGTCTGTGGCATTACCACATATTCCCTTTTCAAGCTGTCTATATCGAATGTCTTATCCTCTTGGCAACAACATTTCACCATCAGTATTAGACTATATAGTTAATAGTATTACGTCAAACTTATCACGTTCTACTCCAGGTTTTATTGCGATCAGAGGCGGCTGAATTCAAGACAGGTAAGGCAAGGGCTTTAGGCCCCATAAATTTGAAGGCCTAACTTTTTAGTAGTTTTAGGTTTATATATTTATTTTATTTTTAGAAAATTTAAGTATTTAATATGAACATCTATAATTTTGTTGTGGAAAAGGAAAATAAAAGTTTGCTTTTACCGTTATTACATATTGGGGATATAAATTGTTACTTTTCATCGTCATTGCCTTTTTGAGATTGACTTCTTTTTTTCGTATTTTTTCACAACTACAAAGTTGAGACCTTCTTGCCTTCTTCTTTTCTACCTTAAAAGCCTCCTTCTTGTCAAAAGAACTACAAGACTCTTATGATCCTTCTTTGTGGATAAAATACAAAGTTGGTAAGTACAAAAAAAAAATTAATGATAAATTTTTTCTTTCTTTTCAAGCATTTCTTTTTCTACATTTGTACTTGGAACTGGTTTTCTACAAGAATGATTTTACAGGTTTTCAAGCATAAAAGTATTAACAAGTTATTTGGGATCAACTTATCAATTGAATCACGTTCTATTGTTCTAACCTTTGGCTACTTTTTTTAATCTAAAATCTGTCATTTTTTTATATTTTTACTTTATAGATATACTGTTATTTACTAGAGTTTAAATATATCTACTAGAAAATATGAATTTCGGTTATGTAGAACTTCAAAAAAAGAGAAGAGTTTAAACTTTAAATTAACTTTATTAATTCGCCTAGAAAAATAGCCTTTAAATAAAATATATATAATTTTTTTTAAAGGAACTTAAGGCCCTCGTTACAGTTTGGCTTTAGGCCTCGAACTGTGTTGAGCCGCCTATGATTGCGATGCTCTTTTAATAGCCTGTTTGGCCAAGTTGTAAAAATCAACTTATTTTGAGAAATGTTTTTTTTCAAAAGTACTTTTGGGGGAAGTAGTTTGTGTTTGGCTAATTAGTTTGAAAAGCACTTCTGAGCAACAATTAGTGTTTGGCCAAGCTTTAAAAAACTGTTTCTAAGTGTATTTTTCTCAAAAGTGCTTCTCAAAAAAGTGCTTTTGGAGAGAGCTACTTTTTTTCTGCTTCTCCTCAAAACTACTTTTTTTCTTTCCAAAAGCTTGGCCAAACACCTTAATTTTTGACCAAAAATACTTTTGGCAAAAAAAATAAATATATATTTCTGGCCAAAAAGAAGCTTGGTCAAACAGGCTATAAGTCCCGACCCCGTCTAATTCTACTTCAGTTGAACTGATCATTTATTAAAATATATAGTAGTACCCTAATGACTTATGAATAAAAAGCGTCGAAAAGCTAAAAAAGAAGGTAGGAGCCCCGATCATCAATTAGATATAGATATTTTGCTATCGTTAAGTTATGATTTTTTTTTGCATTCCGCTGGTCCATTCTTTATTAAAAGGCAAAATATATAAGTACTTATCTATGACCCAAATTTTCCTTACACATTTTCTGTGAACAATAATAATATTATGCATACAATCTTTTTAAAGTGTATCTAGTATATACTATCTTTGACTCGCGTGTTTACACAAAAGAAGAGCGTGAAATTTGATTTTTTGCTATCAGATTATTTATTAAAGTGCCACGTGTTCAAATTTTATTTAACTTTTTTAATTGGGTTGCAACCCCTTCTTCTCCGTCTTCATCCTCTGAACTCACTCCCCCAATTTGTGGTGTAGATAAATGACGTGGCATTGAAAGTAACAGGAGCACATAAGCAAGGTACTCGATGTTCAACTCTGCCGCCGACGACTTTATGGAAGAACGGAAACCAAAACGACACGTTGGACTCGACGTTGTCGAATAAATTCTGGTGGTCGCACAAGAGAACATGTAGTTCGAGTTCCAGCTCGACAACAGAGAGGAAGGAACTGGATGCGAGGAAAAGGGATATCGAGCGGGGAAATTACGCAGGTGTTGACGTTGCGAGTAACCGGCGAGTTGAACCGGTGGTTTTCTTTGAAGAAAGCGAGCCTAAAGAGTGGGTGGGTCAGGTTGAGCCGGTCGTGTTAACTTCATTGGAGAAACATAACTAATCACGAAATTCCGTCAACTTTTGATTGAATTTCCTCCTCGATTTGATTTTGCATCTGTAATTTTAACTCGAATGGGAGCAAATATTTCAAAAAGTTGTCTTATAGCTTAATGAACATATTTGATCGTAAAGAATATTTTGGAAATTTTGGTAAAATGTTCTTGGTTGTCTCCATTTTTAAAACCTGCTCTATAATGGTGTTGCAAGTACAATGGTGTTACAGGTAGGGGCAGCCACACCCTAGAGAAAGTGAGAAAGTGAAGCACTTGCTTTAGGCCCCAAAAATTTAAGGGCCCCAAAATTTTTCTATATATAGTATATTATTTATATAATTATTTTTTAGTATTGATAAATTTATTCTTTATTTTCATATAAATTTTTAATAACGTAATATCTTCCTCTAATTAATATAACCAAAATAGTTTTTTTGTTAATCTTATTTTACGTTTTTACTGAATTATATTTCTCTATGTTTTAGTTAGTCACGTAAATATATCTAATAATTATTTATTTTTCTAACATAAATTATAGTCCCTTAGTCCTAATTTGTATGAAGGTGTTTGACTGGACATGTAGTTTATGAAATAAAGGAAGACTTTTGAAACTTGTGATCTAAAACAAACCATAAAAATTTATGTGGCTAGACTCTAGAAATCATCTCATAAAAATTTAATGTTGAATTATTACCAAATATAGAGAGGGGACCGACTAAAAAAAAGGTATCACATAAGGTGGGATGGAGGAAATATATTTTATGGATTCTGTCATTTAAGTTGTGATGCAATCAATGTTAAATTCATTCATTTTTTTGCACTTTATAAAACGAAATTCTATTTTTTTTTTTCAGTTCACATACTCACTTGTCTATTTTCAAATATCGATGCTATATACATATACTAGTAGTGCATACATGAGTATTAGTGCCCAACATGAGTAAAATTTAAATTTGGGTATTTTCGCTCCAGGCTACTCAAGCAGTTACAGCACTTGTGAACAGCCTACAAGATCGCAGGAATTATGTATAAATTTCATAGTCAGGCATCACCTAGTTAAATAGCACAAATATCTAATTTATAACCATTATCTTTACAAACTTGAGTCTCCAAAAAAACAAAATAGATCTTGAAAAATTAACAGGTACATACACATTAGACAAATTGAAGTAGTGGTGTTATTTTTCTTTTCAAACTACGCCACTATCCATGTAATGCCAAGAAAGATAAATACCAAGAAGTCTTGCGTCTTTTCTCCTTCCCTGCATCATTGAGAAGGTCTTAGAACAACTATTACACCAATATAAAATATGAGACATGTCAACTAAAACTACACTATCACTATCGTGTTGCTTTTTTTTTCCAAACCTGTTTTGAAAATCGCTTTTCTTAAGCCGAGGGTCTATTAGAAATAACCTCTCTATTTACACAAGGTAGGGGTAAGGTTTGCATACACTACCCTCCCCAAACTCAATTGAATCAAACTCATAAGACGAAATTGCTATTGCTTTCCTATGGCTACCACAGACGGAAATACAAAATACTTAATTCGCACTCCCACGGGTAAGAATAAAAAAGAAGTACCAAAAATCGCTATCATTAATTCCTTTTCAGCGTAAACTCACCTTTATCTGTATGAACAACACATGCAAAACAAATCATAATAGAACGGGATTACAACAACATAACAAGGTATTTAAGGGCACCAATATGGCAAATGCTTCCTTGCGGCCATGGAAAAGAGTGAATTTAGCTGCATATTCATTACATACATGTTCAATAACTTCATGAGCTTTGTAATGCTACAATGTAGCTGGAAAATAGCACTATCAATGTCTTTTCCAGACTAATAATGTAAAATCGTCATTTGTGTATGTCAATCATTAGTCGAGCACAACAATGGACTTCTTCCTGAGTAACTTAAAGCTCGGTGGCATATATTATTTAATTACACCTTGATGCCTCATATGGTTTATTTTAATGATGTTCTCCCTGTTCTTGTTCATATTCCTACTGTACCAAAAATATATACCATGCACAAGTTTCACCAAACACGACAGGCTCTAGCTGTGATCCAAACCACTTTTATCCATGCCGAGCTTATGTGTTTTAAGAGTCAGAGGACCATAGTTTCTTGATTTAGCCTCAATTAGTTACCTTTTCTCAATGTTCTTACAACATGATCAACATTAAGTATGGTAAAATTGCTTATCAACAAACATTTAGTTCCAAAATCCTTACCCACTTCCCAATCTGTTGAGGTTGGCGATCTAACTATTGTGCCAACTAATGTCGACAGAGCTGCTATAATATAAGTCCCAGTATTTTTCAAGCCTCCCACAATAGGACTCAATCCTAAAACTAAGCCAGATATCTCATAATTTATGTATGCTAGCCTTCTGATAACATTTCTTATATTCCTTCGAGATTATGTCAACCTACAATTCATAAGGGAGTCTAATGGTAGTAATCCTAAAAATTTTTGTGCCATTTTCATTCCACTTTCTAGGCTTTCTAACCTTAGCCAACCAGCACTTTCAAATATACATGCAAGCAAATGGAGATATAACTTTGAATAATTAAAAGCCATACCTAATTTTTCTTGTTAACACAAAATTAGACAAAGTAGCAGTAGTGCCATAGAAAACACATGCAAGCAAACAGAGTAAATTTCAACATGTTTCTTATACACAACTACAAATACAACAAATATATTTTACCAAACTCTTGCTCTTTCTTTTTTTTCCTTTCTAAAATTTTTCCTACTTCCCAACTCTCTAGTTAAGATATATATTTTCCAGTTATAGTTAAAATAAAAATAGCTGGGAGTAAATTGCAAAAGCAATTTCATACATTTTTTTCTTTGGTTGAGGAATTTCAAAATTCATGTTCCAACTACATAGCCAGTATCCTCTAATATTTTTCCCCTGAAATCATATTTGCATCTACAATAAAGCACCCATCAATATTAAAATAAGCACAAGGACAATAAAAATGGTCGTAGAATCCCTATCATAAGCACAATCAGCTAAGTTGCTCGGAAACGGGTGTGGGTGTCCGACACGGGTGCGGATCTAGAGGTCGCATCCTTCGAGATGTAAATCCTAACATTCGGGGATACGTATCCTAGTACGGATATGGGTATAGGGATTCGGCTAAATATAATTCAAAAGAATAAAAAATAAAAAAATCCCTAAGTTACGAGAAATTTTGAGGAATACTTACATATAGCTTGTAAAGTGTGGATGTTTTATTCTCAAGTTGTAGATAAATAAAGGATTGATTTCCTAAATAAGGTATGCTATTTTCTTCCCTAGTTTTGGTTATGATTACGGGAATCACATTGTATCTCGTCTCGAATTTTTCCGTCCGTCGTGGTCAAAGTACCAAAAATTATTTGACCAGATCCGGTATGGATCCCATACCCACACCCATACTAGTATCGTGTCGACACGGGTGCGGTACCTAAACTGCCATGTCGGAGCAACTTAGACAATCTGTATCCATTTCATTTTTCTGGTTCCTTGAGAAGATAAATGCAATGATACATAGATTAATATACTGCAAGCTCAATAATAAGTTACATACCTTCCAAATGAAAATCACTATGTTGATTGGGTTATATAAAAAATCATTCATGGAACATTAAGAGTCATTCGGAGCCTAATAAACTCTTATGTATTCAGCTGTATGTCTAGGGAAGTACTCTCTGCTCTTTCTCCTTATCCTTCCTACACCCCCAACTCTGCAGTCACGATTTAAACTCATCTTAAGTTGCACACCAGATGTCTAGCATACAGATATGGAGTTACTCCACGTTAAAAGTAAAGCAGTTGCACTAAGTTAAAAGTAAAAAAGTAGGATGTAATTCGCTAAAAAAAATTTATTCCTTTTTCATTTGGCATAGGAGCTCCAAATATGTGCTACAATAGCATAACAAGAACCCTTGAAACTTATCTCCAATATCATAGGCATCCACAGGAGTGCACTCACCAAAATAATAAGCAAAGGAACCTAGTAGGAAAGGTAAACTCATTACTCAGAACATGTATCATTGCCCAAAAGTTTTTCAAGATTAAGAGGTCAGGAAATTTTTTAGCTCAATTTGATGGAAGATTCTTCTTAAACACAGTTACTTTTAACAATTAGATGGTTCCGTTAAAGATTTGTTTTTTTCCCGATCACATTGCCAGATCATTCATCAAACGATTCTATCTGTCTAATAATCCCCTCAAAGGCAAAGATCGCAGAAAAAGGTCTTTCCTTTTGAAGAGCCTGCACCAGAACCATCAAATATTTCCAGATTTGATATCAGACCCACAACCTTGATTTCAAATATGTCCTCACTTTTATCTGCAAGATTAAATTTGTTAATTCACTATCCTTTAACATGCTTCACCAACACCATACATATTTAGCTTTTAAGGAAGCTGTTACCTTTTTTTAATTTCATTCTCACCTGCTTGACAATTGACATGCTATAATAAGAAGCTATTTCTTTTCATCTATGTATAGCCACAAAAGGCTCTTAGGTGCAATAGCCAGCCAATACCAGTAAAGCAAAAGAAGAAAAACTTACTCATTACAAATCGGACAAGGCAAGAATGTTGGAGCACAAAATGAATGACATCTTCTGGAAATTGCAGTCATTCTTAGCCTTACATCGAACAACCATAAAATAGCAACACAAAATTCATTGAGAAAAAAAATCCAATTTTCCATACTTCTGCTACTGTTAATTCATTGTCAATAGAACATAAAGCTCTAGAGCATAAAAAATATGCCTTTTCTGCCTCAGCCGTTGCTTGACGGGGAACGCCTCAAGGCGAGAGAGAAAGAGAAAGAGATTTACTTTGCCTACTCTGAAGATGGGCAAGTTCATGTAGTACTCAAAATTACCATTTATTTTGGGTAGCAAGAAACTAACCACAAAAGAAATTAACAGAAGAGCAAGGTACAAGGCACTGATGCCATTATAACCATAAAATACACCCAATTAAAGCTAAGAACACAAGTATCTTTATCATATAGATTCGACATTACAAATAGAGAAATCATATCACCTGTTGATAAATTTAAGTAACATGCAAATCAACAGTCAAAGGAGGATCCATATCTTCCATCTTGGATGCAAGCGATAAACAGGCCGTAGCTAATATCTGAAATTGATCAGCTTTACTTCCCTGCAAAACCAAAAAAAAGCAATGTAGCAGAATGCAGGCAATCATCTATATTGGAGAAAATTATAATTGGATAACAAACTGCATGCATCTATATTGGAATTGTAGCAAATTCATAGAAAAATATATATCGATCTGGGTAATTTATTCACATATAAAAATGGAGACCTCCAAACCCAGAATGGACATGAGCCTACAAAGAACAAAAGGCAAAAATCAAATTGAGAAGATTAAAAAAAAAAATCATATTGCATTTCCATTTAAGAACAATATAAACAGTACCCTCAGAAAGAGAACAAACATAGAGAAATCACATTTTAAGTTTAAGTACTGCAGAAAATAATAATAAGAGCCAGCTGATAGTTGACTCCCAATTTCAAGAAAAGCCGAAAGCTTAATAGAATCCAACATCTCTCCAAATGGAAAGAGAATAAAAATAAATTAATTCAGCATAGTTGATCTAAAGGCATCAAGCCCTAGTTTATTTTTGGCCATGCAATCACAAATTAAAAGTTAATTCACTCAAACAAAATCAAACACACGACATTCAAAAAAAGAAGAAGGAAAAATCAAGTAGATGACAATGTAACCCCAAGTACCAACTTCACAATTTCTTTAGATATTTAGCGCGAAACTATCTCTCCTTTAATTTATGTAAGATGTCATCACTTACACTTGACAAATCAATGGATCTTCTGATCTTTCACTGCCAAAGACAAAGCTTTTAATGTAGTTTTGGAGGGTTTAAAACAAAGACCCATTACAATAAAAGGACATACAAAAAACTTCCGCCAAATGTACCAAAACCATGACTTAGAAAAAAGAAAGGTGAGGGAGAAGAACAAAATAAAAAGTGGAGTACATGGGAAATAGAAGTGAAAATGGAACTAATAGTAAGTTGTCCAAGAAAAATGAAACTGCTAAACACGTGTCACTTGGAAGACGAAAATGGGAGCGCTGCAATTGAAAGTATGAAACCAAAATACCCTTGAAAAATAACTACAATTCCTAAATTACCCTTGTTCGTACATTTTTTGTACAGTTGAACTCCCGTTTTTATATTGTAGTAATATATATATATATATATATATATATATATATATCTCTCTCTCTCTATNATATTGTAGTAATATATATATATATATATATATATATATATATATATTTCTCTCTCTCTATATAAGGCCTCTTATTAAGGCTTTAGGCCCAGATGCTATTCAGCCGCCCCCGGTTGCAGGTATGAGTTGAAGAAGATGAGGGCATATTTATAATTTTATATTTTTATTTTTAAGTTTATAAACTAAAGTCAAACGCATGAAATATACAAATGAACTTTTTATGGGATCTGGTCAAAAGAGGTGTGTACTAAATATACTTTAGAAATATAGTATGTATAATATTATTATAGTCCACAAAAATTATATAAGGAGGATTTGAACCATAGATTAGGTGACAACTTATATATTTGTCTTATTAGAACTCATAAATAATATATACGGTCTTATCCGTTTACATTTGTGAGGTATTGTTCATTTTAGGACCTTATGTGTTTGTCCTAATTGAAAGACGTCCCACAAAATTGAGATTTTCTATTTCTCATATCCAACGTGGGATAATCTTCGTTCTCCGTTAATATTGGCATACCTTTCTATAAAAATATCTCTAAATAACAATTATTTACTCTAAAAGTTAAAAGTTTTTTCGAAATTAATTTTTATATTATATTTACCTTTCTATAGCATCTTTTTATCTATAATAACAATATTCATTTTATAGCAGTACATGCTTTGTAAAATCACTAGAATCTCTAAGATTATCAATAATAAATCTAAATATTTTGACCAAATAAATTTAATGTACCACGTATGATAAAGAATACCGTGTTCCGTTCTTAGTCAAGGATTTCATTCGGTACTATTATAAAATATGCTTGTATATTTTACTTCGAATTGCACAAATTAAATCTTTGCATATTTAGGTATGAATTTATTAATAATATATTAGCCTCATTTAGTCTTTAATTAGCAAAATATGCATATTTTCAGATTTTTTAATTTGAACATTTTTCTTATGTTCTATATATACCATTAAAACAGTTTTGCGTGAAAAGCAAATTATCTGTCAGTTACAGAAATGCTCTCTATTACTCTAACCTATCCCTATCTCCTTGTCCATTCCCAACAATAATCTCNTTCGACCTCTTCAAAATATTCCTTCTTAACTACTCTTCTAAAACCTTCACCATGTGACCTCCTTCCACCAAATACAGAATTTATACCATATTTGTACCAGTAGATATTGACTTGAACGATGAAGCGGATAATCCATATGATACAAAGGATTACATTCCCCTCACAACTGATGATAAAGCTCGTTTGTACACCTCTTGGAAAAACTCCATTATATATAAACTATTCGGAATATTCATTGGAAACCAATTGCTTAAAACAATACTCCAAACTCTTTGGAGATCTTCGGAACCAATCAACATCATTGATCTAGGGCATGCTTTCTTCCATATTAAATTTACACATGAGCATAATATGCTTCATGCTCTTTATGACGGATCGTGGTTTATCTTGGCCATTTCCTTATGGTACGTAGGTGGGAACCACAATTTGTTGCTTCCTCTGTGCAGCTAGCTTACTCCGCTATTTGGGCTCTCTCACACCTCTTTTTTACTACACCTCGTAAAGGGCATAAATATAAGGGAGTTTTTTCAATTAAAGGACAATCAAAACGGGATTAATTATTTACAATTCAGAGTCGCCACTTGAGATAATTTGTGGTGTCCCAAGTCACCGATGGAATGCCGAATCGAGGAAAGATTGACTCTATTTAACAATCCGCGAACCAGAAATCCGAGTAAGGAATTCTGTTAACCCGAGAGAAGGTGTTAGGCATTCCCAAGTTCCGTGGTTCTAGCACGGTCGCTTTGATCATACTTGGCTTATTATAATTGTTTAATTACTGATTTTAGAACCTATGTGCATCTACTTTTTACCGCTTTTTAATTAAGAAAATTATCTTGAAACGAGTCACGCGTACGTGTACCCATTTGTTTTGGCGCGTCAAAAATCATGTCACGCGTACGTGTCCACAATTAATAATGTTTTATTATTGTAAAAAAAAAGAAAAGTTTGGCCAAAGTTGGCGTGCCTAAAGCAAACTACGAACATTCGGCATTTTGTATGATTAAATGGTAGATGACACACCTCGGACTATATGAGCTAGTTTAATTAATAGCCTACGAAAATCCATTTTATTATTAAGAAGGTTTGTTCGAAGTTGCGCGAACGCATACTTCGAATTGGTTTTTAGAATTGTAATCATATCACGCGAACGTGTACACAATCACAATTGTATTTTAAACGGCCCTAAAGGCTTTTCTACGAATATTCATCACTAGTGTCTAATTAGTATTTGGGAGGGCCATAGAAAATCAACTAAACGGCACACCTCCACCATTGATAATTTAGTTAGTTAAGGCCCAAGATGTGACTAAAGAAACCTCAAAAGAAAACAAACTCATAAGGGAAAGTTGATTATTTAAAGCAAAGGTTTAATCCAATCCCAAACATATTGGTGAATTTAAGTCAAAGAGGGACAGCCCATCACTAACATGCCAGCAGCCCAACGCGAACAAACTAAGCACATTTGAAAGAAATTGTTTCATTTAGGCCCAAGAATGAGCCCCAAGTTCCTGAAGGTATGCTATTCTTATTTTGGGGTGAGGGACTCAACATCGAATCTCCATAACACCAAATGGATGCCTGAAGCGAAGCAAATTCGGAAAGCCAACGCTATGGCTACCACATAATCCGACTCGAGTTCGAGTCTCAGGCACCACGGGATCTTTTAAGCATTGGAACCACTAAGCTCCAAATAGAGATACAGACCTTAATCAATTACCCTATTTACACAGCAAATAAGAAACCACCAACCAATTAATAAACTCAAATTGAAGTAGGCATGCTCCAATATTATCAGAATTCCTGAAGCCAACATACATATTTACTTGGATCGTAACAAATTACCCCCAGATTCCTAATCATGTTGATTTACTTCTGACATAAAATAGAAAGATGACCCAGAAAGATATACATACTACTGAAGAAGGCTATCCCTCTCTCCTTGAATCTAGCACCATGAAACATTCACATTTGCTGAAGAAATCCTAAGGCTATCCCCCTTCCCTTTAAACTCATCACTAAATGTAAATTTGTAATCACAGAACCATAAATTAAAACCTAAAGTAGACTGATATGATGACACCTTTCAACATTACAACCCTGTATTCCTTTTGTTAACATATCTAAGCATGGAACAACCAAAATCAACATACACTGAACTTCATGCGTCGAATTCAAATGATGAACACAATCAACTACCGAAACAGTGGTATACCATACATTTACTAGAACAAACCCTGTATTCAGCTAATATAGATTGCTAAATTAACATTCACTACAACTAACATAACCAACAGATCCAAAAGCATTCATGAGTTCAAACAGTCTCTAATTAATTACATAACATGAAGATCTATCTAATCAATAAAGCTAAATGAACTATATTGAATCGAATGAACACATAAAATAGAAGGAATCAGCATGGCTTTTATTCTCATTCCCAACTTGAGAGCTACATCATGATGGATTTAGAACATGTACCTGGAAATTAAGAAAAATGGAAGAAGGAGTGAGGTTCAGCCAAGCAATAGCAAGAAACGGCCCAGATTCAGCAGTTTGAATAGTGAAATTCACTCAGAACATCAGTAGAATAGTAAACCAATCAATACACTTAAATCAACTCTTTCAAATACCCAAGCTCAAACCATTTTCAACCTCAAAGAAAATCAAAACTCGTTTCAGCAATGGAAAACTTCAAAATTTAAACAGAGAATTCAATGGAATAGTGTTTTTCACTCTTTTCAGCTGTTTTTGAATTTTCAGTATTTCTTAGCTTTCCAATTTTCTCTTAGATTTCAGAATGTGTAAAAACTGTCCCAAAATGAGGAGAAAGAGGTCCTTATATAAGCCTATCTAGTGCAGCCCTATTCTAGCTAGCTATTTCCCATTTTAGCCCTCTCAAACCAAATTGTTTTTTACCCTCTTACCCTCTAAAGAATCTGAAAATCACCACTCCTAACAGACTCACGTTTATCCTATCTTCTAGAGCCTCTCCCCTAACAGAATTGATTCCCTTACCTTATGAAGTCCCCAAACTGCCCTTTGCCCAACCAATTATTACTACTCCTGCCCTTCCATTTGAGACCCCCCAAAGTTCTAGGCATGACAATTAACTCCCCTAAGATCACCTAAAGTAAAACAAATAGTACTAAACAAATGCCAAAGGCTTCAAACAGATCAAAGGAATTCTCAACAACAATGCAAAACTTCTATTAATTGAACCAAACATAACACGAATAAAACACTCAGCATTCACAAGATCATCTAAAATAGCAATTAAACAGACGTATAATCTCTAAAACTTATTGAAATTAGACATAATGGATTCACACATATGAAATAAAGAAAACCAGAACCAAAACTAAGCAAAGAATAAGAGAAAGAAAACACTGGTCTAACTAGGGGTGGGCATTCGGTATTTCGGTTCGGTATTTAAGAATTTCAGTTTGGTATTTCGGTATTCGGTTTATTGATTGTGTATACCAAATACCGTACCAAATTATTTCGGTACGGTTCAGTATTTCTTATTTTGGTTCGGTATGATTTCGGTACGGTTTCAGTTTAACCAAGACCCATTCAGATTGTTGCATTTCAGTAATTTAACCAAAATGCAGATGCAACAGTCTTAACCAACAGATGTAGCAGCAGTCTAACCAACAGATGCAACAGATATTTCTAATTAACCCATCTTCTTTTCTTTCTCCAACGAGCTGTAAACAGGTTGACTAAGTTTTCACAAAAAAAAAATTATTGGGAAAAAGAACTATTTCCAAGAA